TTAAAAAAAATACTTATTCATCACAAAAAAGTTCTTTACTAAATAATTAAAAAATTTTTTTTACGTTTTTCCCTGAGAAATTTTAAGAGACTATCCGAATGTATATTTTAAAAGTTTTTATTTTATGGAAAACTTTTTAAAATTTGTGTTTTTTGAAAGATTTTATTTTATTACAAATTTTTAATTATTTGTATAAATTTAGAAATTATAACAATTCAAATACTTGACATACTTCATTACCCTAAATTTCATTGAATTTAAAATCTTCGCTAACTTCCACTGACAGATAAATTACGACATGGTTTCTTCTAATTAGTTTTTCTAATTAAAATTTTTTAGTTTGTGAAAACTGGTTGCTTGTTTGGATTTTGGATGCCAGTCAAGTTAAAGCATATTTCTGATATCTAAATAAACAAAAACGTTAATTTGTTAATATATGTATCAGTGTTATATTTTCAAAGGTACTAAGCTAAGTGTGATAACATTGTCGAGCAATTAAAATCGATACTCTGTTAAATCTTTAAAGATCCTTTGATTTATTTATAGCTTACTGTATGTAATCATTACAACTGTGGGGAAAATGTTATATATGTATTATAATTATGCAAATAAAAAACCAATTTTTTAACACTCCAATAATTATGTAAAAAGTTTGACTTGCAAATAGTGTCACTATTATATTAATTTGAATAAGTAACAGCAACTAGTGGAAAAATTTTATGGGAATTTATAGAAAATTTAAATTTCTAATTACTTTCCCTTTATTTATACAAAAATTGAAATTTTGTGGTAATATCTTTATAAATAATGCTTATTTGAACTTACAAGATTGACAATTCTTAATTTGAGCATCATATTTATGAAATAAAACCATGAAAAAAATGTGTTACAGGATCTTTAATTTCAATAATTTAGTTATATATTCAATTGTGTTAAATGAAATAAAACAGAGGTGTCAAAACAGTTCCAACTTGTTATGACATTTCCAGTCTAAACATCTCTATTATACTTTGCCAAAAATCCTTAGTGCGTCATTTTTTATCTCTTATTTAAACGTAAGAGAGAATATCAGTTGTGTATATCGTCATTGAATGTTAAATAGTAGCATAAAAGTTAAATGGAATTTAAGCGTTATGAACGTGACATGTTTACAATCAATACTCTCCCAATTAAACGTATAAAATTAGGTCCACAGTAATCTAATATGTAATAATGAGTTTCCGTACAATTTTGTGCTGCAGTTTTCCGGTTTCTCCATTCTGTAACCGTCATTAAGTAAACCATACAAGTCTTTTAATGGAATGCTTGGATACGGGGATCCTCCTAATGTAACAATTTCCCACAACACAATTCCGAACGACCACCTGTAAATGTATCACATATTGTACCTATTATTCATTACCATTTAAAGCTTACAGGGGAAAATTTAAACATTTTAAAGGCTTTTAAATAGACCTGATTTGAAACGAAAACATGCTTAATAAAAATCTAAAAATCTTTATCACTACCACCTCTCTGTGCATGTTTTGAAAGTATATTAAAGACAGATAAATCGTAATCGTAACAGGAGTTCAATTATGAGTAATCTCTTCTTCTCACCTATTCTTACTATCATTTTTTTCTTTTATTGTTTACATTTTTGATTATGTATACAAAAAAATACAACGAATATAATTATGATATTATTTTGACAATCTTGGGCACAATTGTCATCGTTTTCAGACAGAAACAGAAGTTGTTGCATTGCATTACAGCAGCATTACTTACGCATCGCTCTTCACGGTGAATCTTTGACTAAATAACGATTCGATCGCCATCCATTTGTAAGGTAGTTTTCTTGCTGAAGTTGGTTGATAGACATTTGTTTTTCATAACATCTCTTGTTAAGTCTCTCGAAATTCAAGATATTTGCATGGCGTGGTTTCGAACAATAATAATACTTGCCTGCCTAATCTCCAACAAACTTCTTGTCAAGAAATTCCTGCAAAAATATGTTATCTACCATCTTACAACATTACATCGATCAATCATTGTATATTTGCTTTAATATTATTGCGTTGATAGAACAATAAAGTAGCATAACATTTGAATATTATCATACCAAATAAGACATTAACTGCTGAATGCAGTAAAGATTTACGAGTTTCTAAATCTAATCAGCGTATATAATTAGTCCTAAACAGATCCGATCTTCTAAGATATTTCGAAATTAAAACGAATTCGTTTAAATGAAAGTACATATGCCTAATTTAATCTTTAAAGACTATCGGAAAACGAATGCTTTTATAGAGTTCTAAATTTCTAGCACAAAATGACTCTATTCTTTGTTCAACATACCATTCCCATAGTTATTTGTCTGGCATATGATATTAACTGTGCTTCAGAGATTTCAGCAGTTTCACTCAAATCTGAAGAAATGAAACTATAGATGATATTTACATACGACTATCAAAACATCGTTTAAAAGAACAATATGCATACATTTTGTACTAGCTTATGCAAGAAGTTAATCATTATTATTTATATACATTTGTTGTACTGAAAAGATCTTTTTAATTCGTTTGATGAATACTGCGTGATAACAATTAAAATTTAAGTTACTATGCATTGTTTTCTGTTTTATAATTCAGTCATTGACTTCCTTATTTACCAGAACTTCCACTTCCATCGCTAGTCTGTTTTTCAGGTCGGTACACCTGATCTTGCATATAACAGTTTGTTGGCTTTGTCATTAGTCCATATGGCGTAGATATAGAGTACATCAGCTGCAATAAAGAAATTAGTAACTTGGTAGTTAAAACTATTTATAACAATTAACATATTAACAATATTCAAGTATACCAATCACATTATCGATGATATTTATCCATTTTTCGTCGTTACATGAGGCATATAATTCTTATATAAACTGTTCATCAAATTTCAACTTCTAACTGCAGTCTTTTACAATTTAAGTTTTTGTTTTACTAAACCTTTACACGTTATGAGTAGGCATAGCAGAGTGTTTAACGCGTCGAACAAGAAGTCTAAACGTTGCTAGTCGAGTGGGCTTAAACACTGTTAGCAGCAAGTCGAGCAAGAAACTACATTCATTGCTTAGTACTGATGGGGTCCAGAAACGGATTCGTTCGCAAGTGTTTCAATAAGCTTGTAGCTTTCAACACAATGGCATTCAAAAGGTAAATATTTATTTTTCATTTTAGCAGTTTGCTTTTTCTAAATAACCTAATGTTTTAAGTGCATGTAGAGTAATTAGAAATTTTTAATGCAGTGTAAGGGAAACAACTTACTTTCTCTCTATATTTCCTGAGATAATTTCTTAAGTCCCCTAAGGCACAATAGTCCATGATGAGACATAATTTAGGTCCAGTCAAACAGCAACCAATGATGCTAACTATGTAAGGGTTGTGGCCCAAATTCTTCATAGCTTGTATCTCTAACAGGAAGTTCCTGGACTCATCACCGGTATAAAAGTCTTCACATAGATAAAATACAACGTTAGCAAAGATTTGTAAACAGTTAAGTTCACCATCGACAGAAGAATGTCTATCTGACTAACGCGAGTCAAGTTTAGCTTTATACATTTAAAAAAAATCTATACGACCTACATGAAAAATTTAAAGAATAGTTATTAAGCCCCTTAATTTTTTGAATAAAAGTTTCACTTTCTTAGACAAACTCTAAACGACTTATTGTCAAAGGCATGCATATATTTAGTTTTACTTAAAAAAGTCATTTTAGAATATTGAAGTATAAGTTATACTCCAATGAATTGCCATTCAAAGTAAATTTAGATAGTTATATGTCTAGTAATTATTTGCTTTAAGCAAATAAATATGTCTCAAAAGTTGATAAAATAACCATATTACAAATGTATTTTCATTTTATTATTCAAGAAAATGTATTATCAAATCATTGAAAAAGTATATAAGTTTAAAATAGGATATAAGTCGTAAAACGAGGAATTAAGTGAGTGATGGTTAAACATTGCAGACTTATGTTTATCATTTCAATAACAATTATTTGATTGTCCATAATTGTTACTTGATTGCGCAACCTTGTTCGAATTAACAAGACAGTGCTTAGGCGGGATAAAATCTTTATAAAAATAAAATTTCATATTAATAATATCTAATGCCACAAAATAAACATATAACAACAAGTGTGACTATTGAAGTACCTCTCAGCATTTTGACAGCTACGATAGTGCCCTGTTGGTTTCTTCTATCTTCAGGATTAGGATAATACTCTGCTTTGACAACTTTTCCAAAAGCTCCCTCACCGATAACAGAGATGAAATCTAGACAGGAATAATCAATCTCATACCCATCCATTGCAAACTGGGCTTTCTTTTCACTGTTTATATTCAAAGCCATTCCATCATATATAGGATTCATTTCCTGGGTTCAAAATACGACATTTATTAATTTATTTTCACAATATTCTATGAATTAACATAATAATTACTTGAATAAAGACTTTGTGAAAATATAATTTTTCTTATTTATTATTATTATTATCATCATCATCATCATCATCATCATCATCATCATCATCATTATTATTATTATTATTATTATTATTATTAGTATTATTATTATTTTTATTATTATTATTATTATTATTATTATTATTCCAAACTTATTCCTTGCTGGCTCATCAATTGCAGCATTGATCGTGAACGTAACAATACCAAAATTTTATTTCTTTACGCCAATAGAAATACATGTTCCAAAAGTACCTCAACTGGTCCAAATCGTCTCTGCGATGGATACCTCTTGTATCTCCTCCTCCGTTTTGCAATAATAAACCCTATTACTACTACTAAGATGATGAAGAGGACCAAAGGTACTAACACTACAGACAATATCTCTGTGATAGTTAGACTAGGTTCTGATTCTGAAAACAAGTTTTTTATGATTTTTTAAATTTCATTTTTCAATAATTATGTTTAAATAATCTCTCTTCAACATACATGCAATATCTGTCAATTTAGTCAATGATTGTGAAAACTAGAGTTTCTGTAATTGCAATATTAACCAATTCTGAGTTACTTTTCAAATTCCAACAATTAGTCCAAAAACACTTTAGAATAATAACAAAATAAAACAAAACTGAAACCATTCAGAACGCCAAGACGGCAGATAAAAAGCTGTAAGCTCGTTGTCAATGAACCTCTTAAACACTGATTGGAGGTACGGACAACAGAGTCTAAACACCTTATACCTTTAAGCATATGGATTTTATTATTTCTAAATTAATGTTATAGCATGTCATCTTACCTTTATCAGACTGCTCAGTACTACTTGGTTCCTCGGTATATGCATCGTCCGGGGTGTATAAACCTAAAATATAAACGAGCCCGATATCTAATAGTTTATAAGCAAGGTTAAGAAAAGAGATCATAAACAATCTAAACGATTTTATATACAGACATTCGTGATGGAAAGCATTACAATGTCGATGTGATTACGAATTCGTTTTATTTGAAAACAACTGCATCCATTGGTATCTTCTCTCTCATTGTTAGCATGTCGTAAGATTTGTTAAATTAAAGGAAAGCTAAAGTCACTTATAACAACTTCGCAAATTGTGTTTTGATTTAACTTTACTTGTCACATAAGAGAAAAGACATACGAACATATTGATTATCTCTATTTCAATAAGATTATATAAAACTCTCGAAAAGGGAATGTAGGCAATTAAAGATAGCTCTTGAACAAATAAAATAGCAAACATAAAAAAGAGAAAAAATATTCTTGTTTTTAACAAGCATGCAAATTGAAAAGAAAAACAAACCTAATTTCCATTATAAATAATACAAATTGAAATCATGCATCAAAGTCATGCATGTACCACAAACACAAGTAAAATAGGTGATTATTGTATCACAAGTAAAATATATGAACACTTCTACAAGTTTACAAATATATTTACATTCCACAAAACGTAAGCTTACAAAATATGTGTTGGAATACATAAAAGATTATGTAAGTGCATATAAGCAATATCATTTGAAGAGATTCGTAATTGCATAGTACCTCAAATGTAGATTATAAACCAAGAAGAGTAATAAAACTATCAATGACAACACGTTCTAAATTAATTTGGATAGTTAGTGTAAAAAACAAGGAGAATACAATTAATAATAACACAACAAAAGCATAGAGTTATTAACCTAAAAACTAATTGTATTAATTAAATGTTGCTTAGTTTTGTTAAAAGATAAAAGAAATGAACAATAAGGTTAGGAATTTGATTTAGAGGCGGAAAAGACCAGAAGGTGGATATAAAGCTAGAAACACAACATTAGTTTAGTTCTGGTAAGTGAGTCAAGAAACAAACTGCTTTGTGTTCTTTTACCAATGAAAACCATAAACATATATGCAGATCAAATAAATCTAAAATATTTCAGTTGCAGTTTGGAGGGGTAAAACTTAATGTGAAACAAATTTATACAATTATGATTTTGTAAAATCTTTTAAATTAAGAAACTGGCAGGAGAAAGAGGCAACTTAATTGTATATATACATGCACGTACATGTAAGTATCTGCTATAAAAATAAATCTAAAATGAAAGCAAAAATTGTGTCATGTGAGAAAAGCTCTAAAGTCAAATGCAAGGCATTTTTATCATAAACCTAATTTACTTCTGTATTTACTTAATTTAAGTATTTTCCATTGAGTGAAACCCCTGCTGGGGTCTGAGCCTTTACCGCACATACTTTATTACACACACTTTTAAGGTAAACACTGATCCATTTTTTTTGCCAAACATGGCATGTCATAAAAGATTTAATAAAAAAAACTTGATAACTAACGCAGACCTTTTAACAAATATGCTACCTAAATTACTCAACATCAAGATTTTAGCAATATAAATAGAGACCACCGTCGGCAACTGTTTATTTTATTAATTGTTCGTGCTATATATGAACAATGTTTCAAACATTGTAAATGTAGTTACCATTTAGAAATAAAAAAAATGCAGATAAAGAAAAACATCCATATGTATATATATATTTGCCTTGCTCTTAGAACGTAAAACAAAACTACAAATAAAAAAAAACCAACAAGTTTTAAGAATATTTTATATAGGAAATATTGCTCGCCTAGTGGTCACTAAGAAACGGTTAATGCAAATGTGGTACAATACGGTGTAGATGGTTTAGTACTCAAATCTGCAGTAAGAAATTATTCGAGACCTATGTTTATAAATTAAAGAAAATTTAAACATAGTGGGTCCGTGATAGGCACGGATACCCAATCACTCATGCAACGCTCTCATCCTTTTTACACAATTATAGATAAATTATCTGAGGAACATTCAAATACATAAATCTATCCAAAGTCAAAATAGTACCCATGCAACGACCCAGCATTCTTTCTCCACCAAAATATAACAAATCAAGAGCAAACTTAGCAGTATGTTAGTAAAAACCTACCAAAATACGTCCCTACCTTATTAGAAGCAATAATCAACATTCCGAAAGATACTTTACTAAAATAAATAAACTGATCATGGGATTACGAAATAAATACTGCCAGAAAGAAATCCATATAATTGTGCATGCTTTTCTTCTTTCTACGACAATGTCAATAGAGCAAATAAGCTCGCAAAGTGTTAATGAAAACTATGCAAATAACTGAAATACCCAATGCTGACAAAAAACCCATTATTTTACTGAACGTTCTTTTGTATGAGACATATTTCTCGTATTCAACTTTGCTCACTTACTTAGATAATGGACTAATTTTAGAAGATGAAAAGGGACGCATAATTTTCAAAGACAAGTTATCATACCGTATATATCATATAAATAGTTCAAAAATATATATAAACTACAGCCGTATTTCTATGAAATTTTTGACAATTATCACATTTTCTCATTTTTCATTATAAGAATTGCAAAAGAAGTCGGTTTAATACTATACCTTTTATTCATTAACCAAAGATATATATATACCAATTCAAGAACATAATGTTCCAATGATTGACTCCCGTAGTTTTGTACAATTTTGTACATTTTTGTACATAGAATGCAATTATATTTTTACTTTTATTTCTTTGAAAACATGTAAAGATTGTAAAACCTCAATGTTGAAAATTTACCAACGATATCATGACATGACACTGGTCACAAAATATAATAAAACTAATCAACATTAGTTTATAATGCGCATCTTCGATTCTGTAAACAATTCTTAAAAAAGGCTGAACGGTTAATACTAATTTTTCTACATAATAAAATTGAAATTTTCTGTGAAATCATAATAAAACCACACAATAAGGCGTATTTAGGTCTGGTATGTCAAATGTATGCAACTGTAAGTCTAGAAAATAACTTAACAATTAATACCTTATAGAATTATCTCTTTTTTCTGAAAGCTTTGTGGACTTTGTATGTATTTTACATGGTATATTAAGAAAAACATCAATTAAAGTTTTAAGTCAAAATGGCAAATAAACCAAACAAAGCCAGGTCATGATATTGATATGGTTGGCAACAATCAAGTGAAATAGTAATGGAATTTAAATATTTTCTTCTTAAATAAGACAGAATATGTCTAAATTTCATACTAACGAATACCCTTTATATGATAAATACGGTACATTCATTTTAATTGGATGTTTACAATCTCACCATTAATTGAGTCGTTCTTTGTACCCGTTTCTGCAAGATAGCCGTAAAGAATAAAACACAAGACTTATGTAATATGTTCTATGCTTTGTACATTGGACAAAGAAATTAAAGCAAAGTGAGGTTATATAACAAAGACTGTTAGTTATGTTATTAGTGTTAGAATTATGCAATAACTATATGACAAAGTATTATTTAGTCCTTTGAGTTCTGCATAGCTAGACATTGGTACAATATTTTATTATTACATTGATGCACGTTAGCGTATTTCCTACAATCCTTCTTCCGATTCAGTTTAAAACCTGAAAATCACGAACACACATTAAAAAGCATTTGAAGGAAGTTGTGCTTACTTTTCAACATCAAAAGCATTTAACTTTTGTTTTGCTCTTCGTTACTGTTGTGTTGTTTTAATATAAAATTATGTTAGAAAAGATTACTTTTTGCTAAAAATAAGCCAACTATCGCGCTATGGCTTGTAGAGGGTTACACAATTTTGGATAAAATATTTGTTCAAATAAAGAATATTTATGTTCTTAAACTATCAAAAGGGTTAAAATATTTTAGACGGTATAAAGTACAACAGGACAAAAATAAAAAAATAAAAATATAAAGACAATTTATTGTTCAATAAAAAAATTATTTATGTTCTAAAAATATTTATGGCTAAAATACCAATATTAAGAGAAATATAAATACATATATAATAAGATGGACAATAATTGCTATATAACAGCCCATAACACAGACTAAAACTGTGTTGCTATATTTAAATATAAAAGGACTAAGGTTCAAACAAACGTCGGATAAATAACAATGGAACTTCACTATTATACACTGACAAAAGATTGGTTGATGCTTTCTATTTTATTAGAGGGGTGATCAAATTGGTTAATTGGGGGATTATATACATGTACAGATATTCTTCGAATCAAATGGATGGACTAATGGATAATATAGATATACATGTAGGGAACATACATTAACACATAGATATTAATTAATTAGACGATCTCCTCTTGTATATTATTATAGTATATTCCCTGATGTGCATCTATACATCCATTTCATCTCTTCTAATATGTTTGAAACTATATTCTGTGTTTGTTTTTTCAGAATTATTTATTTTAAGTAAATGTATTTTGTGTAGAAAGCTATTACAACCACACTTTAGAATCCGTTCCTTTAACTTACAAGCGGAAAGTTTCAGGGAAACAACGGCTTGCCCCTACTGCGTTTTGAAACAGCATGAAGTCAAAAGTTCTGTATTTTCCATAGTATCTTTCCATTTGATATGTTCTATTGTGTATTACAGTGAATTATCTATGTTGTTAATTTGTCTATTTTCTTCCTTTTCTTTATTCATGTGATATTAAAACATTGTTACCATCCATCCATCTATCTATCCGTCAGTAACAACAATAGCTACGTTTTTAATCTGTGCCGTGTTACAATCAGGTGCTTCTTTTTAATTATGATGATCCATTATTCAAATTATTGCCATAAATATTTGTATAGTCCATATATATTTCTACCTCTCCAATATATATTCTATTTGAACATTAATATATTTTTTAATATAAATATATTTTATTGTACGATAATTATTTGTTTCTAATTATTATCCATATACATAATTTTCATAGACATGTACATATTTTGTTAATATCATAAATATGTTTTACAACATAAATATACTTTATTGAACAAACATTTTTGTTTACATTTTTGAACACTCAACACGCCATATGCAACAAGATCTTCTTTTCACCATACTATTTTTGTTTGTTTACTAACTAAAATTATATACAAAAACACATTTAAAATGAAAGCAGATCCGACAAAAAATTGCATTGTTATTTTCCTTTTTCTATATGTGATAGCACAACTATGCACTACACATTGCCTACACTATCAGTTTGCACAATCGTTTCTAGATAAATGGCGAACTATAGACAGGTTTTGTTATGTTTTTTCAAACCGTACATTCAAATGGGCAGACAAGCGTTCAACCGTCGACAGCCTTACTAGCATATACATGTCTGTGTAAAAACACGGACTGTAAGTATTTATCTATTTTTAACATATCCCAACTGTGTTCGATTAAATCAATGTGATGTGATGGATTCATAGTCAATATCCAAAGAAGCATGCTTACAAATTTCTGTACCTGTGCAAGCTTTACTTTATGTGAAATTTGACTAAAAGAAACACACTTTCCGATGAGATCCTGTATATTTTTTAAAACATCACAAAACGTACGTTTTCTCATGATAATAATTAATTTTAAGATACGCTTCGTAAATGTCAACATTTCGGCATTTAATATTCCAATCCATATCTTCAAAAATGCTTTTCTTTTAAATATATTGGGTATTAAACATTGAATGTCTTTAAAATTTGAGTAACGTCATCAGCCGTTCGCCTCTTTTTAATGATAACATCGACATCTACTCATCAGCAACGGCGAATAACTCAGAAAACCGTTTAACGAAACAATTTTCAGGGCTTTTGTGCTTAAGTAACTAGGAACGAGTAAAACTTTTTTGTTCAATTAACATATTCATTAATTCATAGTACTTTCTTATGGACCTCATGCTGACGAAATCCATCTATTTTTCAATAAATTTTAAATTGTCCGCCATATAAAATTAGTATGATTCTTACTGTTCTATCCAATAAAACCTATCGATTTTAAGAATAAAAAAAACATTTTAATTTTAAGAAAGATATCTACCTCGTTAGTTAATTTCCGTATCCAAAATATGTATGTATGTATGTATGTATGTATGTATGTATGTATGTATGTATGTATGTATGTATGTATGTATGTATGTATGTATGTATGTATGTATGTATGTATGTATGTATGTATGTATGTATGTATGTATGTATGTATGTATGTATGTATGTATGTATGTATGTATGTATGTATGTATGTATGTATGTATGTATGTATGTATGAATGTATGTATGTATGTATGTATGTATGTATGTATGTATGTATGTATGTATGTATGTATGTATGTATGTATGTATGTATGTATGTATGTATGTATGTATGTATGTATGTATGTATGTATGTATGTATGTATGTATGTATGTATGTATGTATGTATGTATGTATGTATGTATGTATGTATGTATGTATGTATGTATGTATGTATGTATGTATGTATGTATGTATGTATGTATGTATGTATGTATGTATGTATGTATGTATGTATGTATGTATGTATGTATGTATGTATGTATGTATGTATGTATGTATGTATGTATGTATGTATGTATGTATGTATGTATGTATGTATGTATGTATGTATGTATGTATGTATGTATGTATGTATGTATGTATGTATGTATGTATGTATGTATGTATGTATGTATGTATGTATGTATGTATGTATGTATGTATGTATGTATGTATGTATGTATAAACGTACGTACATACGTACGTACGTGTGTGCGTGCGTGCTTGTGTGCTTCTCTGTGTGTGTACATGTACATATATGCATGTGTAATTGTATGTGCGTGTATGTGTGTGTCTTTATGTGTGCGTGTATGCGTGTCTTGTTTGTGCGTTTATGTTATTGTCTTTATAAGAGTGTTATTTGTGTGTGCATGTGCGTGTGTAAGGAGCCCCAGGAATAAATAATGTCAGAGCTTCCATCGAGGTTTATGTCATTTAAGCTTCATTTAATTTCATTTTATTTCTTACTTAATTTGACATTATACATTTATTCCAGTTCCGGTTCCAACGCGCACCTTGTATAATATGCATTTAAACATGCGAACGGCTGATGACGTTACTCAAATTTTAGAGACATTCAAATTTGAATACCATTTATCTTTAAAAGAAAAGTATTTTTGAAGGTATGGTTTGGAATAGTTAATGACGAAATGTCGCCTTTTACGATTCGTATCTTAAAATGATTTATTAGCATGAGAAAATGTAGGTTTTTGTGTCGCATCTCATCGGAAAGTGTGGTAAATTTTAGTCAAAATTCACATAAAGTAAAGCTTTCAAAAGGCCAGAAATGTGTTAGTATGCTCCTTTGGATGTTGACTATGAATCAATTACATTGATTTACTCGAACACAGTTGGAATATGTTAAAAATAGATAAATACTTACAGTCCTTACACCGACATGTATATACTAGTACAGCTGTCGACGATTGAACGGTTGTCTGCCCATTTGATTGTACGGTGTGTTTTTATATGAACACTTCCTATCCAGTCTTAAAATTGTTTTACATATTATTGTCAGGTTTAAACCATTACATAGCTCACTGGTATTCAGCCCTCTGTTTCATATATTTTATCTCCGGACGTATTAATAGTCTCGGACATATTTTCGTTGTCTAGCGCGGCAAGTGATAGTGTTTTTATCACGGACGATACCAAATTTAGCCTAATTCCCACGAGCTATAAATGGCTGAAACCCAGTATGATTAATGTGTGTAGGTGACTAATAGGTAAATACGTTATCTTAGAATCAGAGCTGTGGATGATAATAATATATAATGATGCTTTAGTCCTGATAGTTTTCCTTAGGAAATAATTCGACAAGTTCAAAACAAACAAATGAAATATACTTTAATGTCTAATGATGTTTTTCTTCTCAATTATGTGAAATGAAACAGAAGTAAACGTTATACCACATGATTTTGATCAAGAAATAGACAAGGTATGTGTAACATGCAAATATTAGTCAAATGTGAAATAAATAATCACTTGCAATCATGTTAGTTTACAAAATGGGCTATGCAGATCACACAAATTCACAGTTGATATCTATTCCACTTATCGTTTCATGTAGATAAGAACTTATATTGATTAAAATATATTAAAAATCAATTACGATATTATCTATGACAACTAATAAAAATGATTTAATCTAAAAACATAAAAAACATGGTGGCTTCAGTGTGATACATTATAACATGACTTAACAATTTCAATTGTTGTGATAAGTTCAGACACGTGTCACGTGCCAGGTATTAACAAGTGACATATAACTTAACTGTTGGTAATATTTATGTAAGTGTATCGATACAATATATCTATTTTTCCACTTCATAATCATACAAAAACTGGATAATAATTGCTTTCATAAATTGGCTTGGATAGTAAACTATCTTGAATTCATACCTATATAATTTTATATTAAAAGAAATAGTGTTTGATTGTGTTAACAATTAAGCACGTGGTAGCACGCGCAAAGCATGTGTAAAAATAAGTATTAGCAGAACGCTAGCCCTTGAACTACATGCTCGCCTTCCTAAATGCTGGCCACCAATAGAAAAACAGTATCTAAAACACCTCTCCAGGTTTGTAACAATATCATAAAATATAGAGAATATCTTAAAAAAGTAAAAAATATCAAACTATCGTCAATAAAGTTGAAAGTGCACACCTGCCAACAGCAACAACATTACTATCGTTAATAAGTGATCTAACATACAGCAAAAGCCACGTGAGCATGTAACGAGCAGTTAGTATCTAATACATGAAGGCATCCATTTCATTTAACTTTAATAGTGTCAATATCTCAATATATTCATTGTGCCTGAAGGACGTTGAATATTTATATTCATTGATACCTCTTAACAAATGTAAATGGAATACAAATGAAGACGAATGATTACTTTTTCCGTGCTATAATGGATCATTTGTTTAAAGAGAAATTGTTCTCCGATTGTGTGTATCATTATGCGATTTTGTTGAAATAAAGTATTTAAAGATAAACCTCGCAATTAACGTAATGGATGCCTAATCATAATCAATGTTCTAATGTATATCAAAGACGGAAACATTTTTTGTTAAGACTATCAATTACTAGGATAAAGGTAGGTAAATCTTACATACCTATGTACACTTTGATAAATTCACTATCTCCCTTTCCTCCTGTTGTTACAGCAGATAATTCAAAGCTGTAGAGGTTATGATTGTGAAGATTATACAGTGTTACCGAGGTTGCAGACTGAAATAATAAGTTGTGCCACTGACATATATTCAATAACTCATCAAGTATGTATATCAAAGGACAATATTTGCTTCTATTATGAAAATAGTGAAACAAAAATGTTCAATAATTATAATTAATTCAAAAAATTTCATTTTTATTTTATTTTTATAATATATCAACCTTACCAAACAACACAGCATAATAGTATGTTTGTGATAATATACAACAGCGTCACATGTCTAAAAGTTAGAAATGGTGTTGTACATAGCATACGCGTAACTTTACTAAACAAGATATATGTTGTATAAAGTAGACAATTTCAATGTTTTCATTTATTAATAAGGACATTTTTTGTCTTTTAGAGTATATTTAATAAGTAAATTTCATTTTCGTGCAAAATGCTACGTCATCAAATTTTGAATTTCGAGTAAACTATACATATTATTAGATATTATAAGACGTACACTTCTGTCAGATAAATCGATTACTTGAAGAAATATACATAATAATCTAAAAATAATTATCTCAATCCCCCTAAATGACAGGCACGTGACGCGTATATGCTTGAAATGAAACACCTCTGACAGAGGTATCCATCTATTTTTGATGATGAACATTACATTTCACAGATTCGGCGTTCCTGCTAAATATCAGGCATAATACATTTTGGCTATCATTACCCCTATATCTCTGCATCTTCGAAAATAGCTTAAATAGCAGTTAACGCCCAGTGTCTGATAACTATGATCGGATAAAACCACCAGAGTTGGCAAATGTTTGCAAAACACTTCCTCAATATTCAAAGAAATTATCTTACAGCATTTAAAAAGACTTCTCCTTTATGCGGTTCGAGATGTTTTGCTACATCAAACGGAGGCTCCTTCCGGTAGACTAAGATGTAACGCAGTACGTCATTTCCGTTGTGCGTGTGGTCCGGTGGTTCCCACAATAATGACACGTTGACAAACTTAACATTCAAATCCATGTGAGCAGGTGTGAGAACTTCCAATGTTAGATTTTTTGGTTTCTCCGGAGCTTAAAAGATCAAATTAAGGATTAAATATAGGCGAGTGTAAAAGAAGAAACGATGATAGAAAATGCAACCACTTGCATTTCATGCACTAAAAGCAGTCTGATAATACGTTATTATATTATTATCTCCCTTCACAAATATGCCAGCGTTTTGGGAGGTCAGTAATACAATATATGTCATTATAAATGAAAACATAAAATATGTCAAAAAGACAAAAAATATGTGAAGAAAAGACAATAAAAATGGATCGTACCAAAAGCACATTTCGCATTGAAAAATGGAGATAAAATGGTGACCTTGAGATGTAATGTATGTTATGTTAAATACATATATTTTGGTTATATAGGTTGTATCAGTATACATAGCTCTTGTTAACCTTGACAGATATAGGTCGTCAGTACAATACGTAACACGTTTATCTTAATATATTTTTGTCAGATTAGAGATATGTCGTAAGATTTGATCATATCATGCACTCGAAGTATACCAAATTCGACATTTTACTATGCATTAAATACAACGGTTGTCATTTGCTCTCAGAGAAATTCCTAGATTACATCATTTTGCAGTTGTTTTCATATAAATGTCAGAAACTGAACCTATCACGAGCATGGTGATATGCAAATTCCACACAAAAATAATACTGTGACGTCTACAGAATCATACGATTGTAAAATACTATTGATGATGATGATAATTAAATGATACATCGTATGAATATATGAAATATCTGCTGGTCGCTATTTTCCCGTTTTCATCAATTATGGTAAATATTAAATCCATGATACCGTACCTGGTGGCATTGTCATAAAAATGCTATACGAAAAGGCATTATTATGTTTTATAATATGAATAATTATATCCTTACCACATACTGAATGGTTGTACCCCGTGGCTTCCAAACAGTTGGGTGTTAAAGCGTACACTATTTTTTCATCGCTTGTGTGTTGGAGGGCATCATCTATACTGTACAACCGAATGGTGTAGTTCTTTGCAAATTTTAAATTATCGATCCGGTAGCTAAATTTTCTTGGTACCTAAAGACAATGTTAGCTTTGAATTATAATAATATATAAAAATATTTATTTCACCTATTCAAAACAAACATCCGTCGATATGACTAAGTGATATTTAGAAACAGTTTTTTCTAGTAAAATATTCAACATGAAAAGTGCCTATAAATACAGACTTCATTTACGAATAATGATAACTTAAATGCCTTATAATATGCATTATCTAAATAGGGAAAGCCCTGATGGTATAAAGATAAACTTTAATATAGTTAATAAACATGTTATCTGGCACGTACCTAGCTATGACCTTTTATTTAACCTCTGACGTAGATTTTATTAAAACAATATGTATATGATGTACGACTGTAGGATACGGCATTGCGTTATACTTGAAACGCTTGTTAAAAGATCGATTATAATCATTCGAATTATTTATCAGTTGTGTTTTAATATCATTGAGATTATGAAAAATTATTTAGGCCTAACTTTACTTTGTTAAACATCTACGTTCTTGCCACAATGGTGTAGCTATAGACTTATATTTCACAACTTATAAAATGTAAACAATAAACTCCCAAGGTTTACACAATGTAATAAGCCAACATAAATCATTATTAGATCCGATCTTTTCAATTTAGCGAAGCTTCAATATTGTCTTAACAATCGATATCAAATCACTTTTGTATTTCGTCCAGTCTCATTTTCAATTTTTCACAGTAAAAAACTCATATCAATTTCGTATTATACTCGAAGTAGCCTATCAAAGTTTAAGTGTCAAATATTTGGTGGTGTTAAACAAAGATATCAGTACAAAACTGATTCTATTGGTATCGTACACAGCTGCTAAAGCCATGAAAGATTCCGTTAGCGCCACGTCAAATTTAGCTTTGACAACAGTGTACGGGTCCAATAAAATCCAGTATGGTACTCATGGTACTACATATTATCATTGTCTGAAAATTGTAATGTCATTGGACAAATAACTTAACCAGACTATATACATGTATATACAGGTAATATTTAGTTTTCAGAAACTAAAACGAAACGAATAGAAACTTTATTTCCCGTTTTGCGCCAATTCTATACAGTTTAATGAAGTGATGATTTTGGCAACAAGTATAACACAAACATGTTAAATGAAAACTGTATGAAACAAATGATAAAGGTCGTATTCAAAATGTATACAAGCAAGTATTAATTAAATATTTAAATGATAACCGTTTTCATATAATTTCAAGAGAAAAACACAGATCATGTCTATGTGATGCATATTTACAGCCTTTGTAGAAACAATAAAGTTTCCCGAGGTTGGCATTTATATTTTGTTGGCAGCTTGCCAGGTTTAGTTTTGGGGATTGTGCCAGGACCGCTTAATTCCGTCTAGTTTGTTTGCTAATTGAGCATACAATTGTCTGTTGTCTTTGGTGAACTGGTCTGTCTTCACGTTCTTGTAATCATAAAAGGAACAGCTCTTGTGATGGAGATGCCTTAATTATAATTATGGCTGTCTTACTTGTCAAGAATTTCTTAGATTTGCCAGCAACAAAGATATCATAGCACATAAAACTGACATCATTTAAACATTTAAAGGATACGCATTCAGCAAGAATCATATAAAATGTTTAAAACATTAATTCTTTTGTTGTAAACAAAACTAATATTTATGTTTTAGAACCTTCATTGGTCATCTTAAATGTCACATACTGTTGTTTCAACTCATAAATAATATGTATTACGGTTAATGGAAAAGGTAATTGCCTTACGTATAATGTTAATCTACTTAATATTTTATGCATTTTATTTTCGTTACATACAAATATATATCAGTAAGCAACAACTTAATGTATATATTCACATATTTCCGTGAAACAAAGATACTAAACAGTATTAATCTTTTTAAAGATCAGCTAAAGGTACAACCACAGTTTAAAATACCAATCATTCTATCTATTCAATGTAGTTATCTGTAGGTATAATGTCTAGTTATCTATAGAAAAGACAGAAAAATATGGCAAAAGAATTATTCTCAAAATATATTACAACTTTCTTTGAGCAATCTATGAAATCGTAATAAAAACGAATTGCAAAAATAGCAAACATTTTAAGATGGCGAATATAACAATAAATTTATAGCTAGGGTCAACATCAAAATATTATTTTACAACTCATTCAACATTATAAAGACAAAGTATCTGTAAGAAATGAATTCTTGTATTCAAATATGTTTTAATAATGGTTTTATGATATATTAGATGCTTATCATTGGAAGGAACAAGCGCTGAATGTGCAGCTATATGTTGAAAGATACCAAATATCAAGAGACTGTGATAAGAAGTTGCTGAAAATCTGTTACGAAAATTTCCCCCGCCCGTCCGCCGCCCGACATTAACCATACTAACCCGGGTTTGCGCATGTGCAACCCGGCAAGAAATTGTAACAAAACATCAACAAGTTTGAAAATGATAAATGATAGCATTTTGGTGCATATTGGGCCTTTAAAATAAATGCTTATTATAAATAAACAAACGTTTCATCCCAGAATGCCAAAGTTTTTTAACTTAATGATTTAACTCAGCGTTTTATGATGTCAATTATAGTTGGATATTTTAAAACGTCTGGATGGTTCCAGAAAGGAAGGTTTATACGCATATTTGTGAACCTATATACCATTAATGTCACCCTTGTGTGCATTTAGATGTATCTATATTTTAACGTGTTTATAAAATGATAAATCGTATTAACAGCTAAACTTGAAATGAGCCGCGTCATGACAAAACCAACATAATGGGTTTGCGACCAGCATGGGTGCAGACCAGCCTGCGCATCCGCGCAGTCTGATCAGGATCCATGCTGTTCGCTTACAAATCCTAAAACAAGTAGAGAAACTGATAGCAAACAGCATGGATCCTGATCAGACTGCGCAATGGTCGCAAAACCATTATGTTGGTTTTGTCATGGCGCGGCTCAAATGAATGTTTGTTTTAAAATACACCTCAAAGAGATTACCATAATGTTTTTACGACAGATGACACGTTTTTCCTGCACAGAATTTTCATGAGTGTGAATAGAACATTTGAAGCAGAAAATTAAACATATAATTTGAAATGCAAGTTATATCATTAATAAATAATTCATTTTTGTGTCGTCGTTTTGTTGAATTATTGCG